CAAGACACAAAGCTTATGGAGTCCTAAAGATCCTTAAAGATCTCTTTTTCTCTACAACAATCCCAGCCACAGCGAAAGCTACCAATTATGACAAGTGTCGTCCTAGAGATCGCCGTCATTTCAAAAGTGAGTGGTTTTCATTTTTCTGTTATCAATTATTTTCTAGAGAATCCCTTGATCTCTAAAATGATTCCTCTATTGTTAGAGATGTCAAATGGACATTTTGTCCATGGGAAGCCCATGTCCAAACCCAATTGGACTTTACCAAATTAAACCAACAATTAAATCTGTCCAGTTGGGTTGAGCCCAATATATCCCATTTCCAATGGGCTAAAACCATATGGACATGGACAACCCAATAATATATAAATGCTAGGGTTTTCATTTTGGGGAAAAAAATTATACTCTCTCAATCTCTCTCGCCGACTCACGAGTCACGAAGTCTCTCTCCGTCTCTATCTCTCTCGAGTCTCTCCATCTCTCTCTCTCTCGAGTCTCTCCATCTCTCAGCTTCAGGTATTCTCTCGAGTCTCTCCATCTTAAGCTTCAGGTATTTGATTGCTTTAGGTTGATGGGTTTGTGATTTCATTGCTTTTAGGTTAATGGGTTTACAGTTTTCACTCAGTCTCTCGGCTCTCTCACTCTCCTAGATCGAAGAAGCTCTCAACCTCTCTCACTCTTCTAAATCGCCTTTCTCGAGTTAAGATCTACCTCTCCTATTAGGTTTGTGGCTTTAACTTATACATTTATCTCTGTGAAATAACAGATGGGTTTGTGGTTTGTGACTTATAACAGATGGGTTTGTGGTTTAGCTTAGAGTTTGCGATTAGTAATGTTTGAATCACCGTGAAATCTCTTAGGGTTTGTGGTTTACATCACACCAGATGGGTTTGTGGTTTAGCTTAGGGTTTGCGATTAGTAACAGATGGGTTTGTGGTTTGTGACTTATAACTATTTTAACTATTGACTGAACTTCTTGGTTTGTGTCTCTGATTCGTTGCAGGTTGAATACTACTTTAGTGACGAGAATTTGCCTAGTGACAAGTTTCTTCTGAATGCTATCAAGAAGAACAAAAAAGGCTTTGGTGAGAGTTTATATCTCTATCTCCTTTGTCTCTTTATTAGACCATTGTTTGTATGATCAACTTTGAGGATCGTATCATGTAGCTATAAACTCCCTGGTGTTTTTGAAACATGGGTCATTTGAAAGTTTGAGACTTTGTGTGACTGATGAAATAGAATTGGTGCTTAAGGCAGACTTACTTCTTGAGTTGTTTTCTAGTGCTGGCCAGCTTATTTGGCTTAAACTCGCATTGCTGATCACTGAAAGTTTGAAAGTTTGTGACTTGATGAACTAGAATGGATACTTAAGAGACTTGCTTCTTGGGATGTTTCTTGTTTCGAACTTCTCTTTCTTAACTCACATTGTTTGTCAAATCTCGTTATTTTGTGTTTCCATGGCTTAAGTGTAAGCTTTATTAATATTTGTAATTGAATGCAAGAAAACATTTTATGTTTCAAAGCACTCTAGTTTCTCCATCCGTGTGTTGTTTAGCTGTTGCTTTGTCTTTTTTTTTTCTTTTGTTACAAAATTATAGTAATATTATATGCACCTTGAGCTTGGTAATGAGATCATTCGTAGACTTGTTATTAAGGTTAATATACTCTTTACATTGAAGTTTTCAAATACTTTTAAGTTTTAGGTTTAAGTTTTCAAATACTTTTAAGTTTATACTCTTTATAACTGATATGTTTATGTTATTGCTTTCAGATGGGTTGATCGAAGAAGCTCTCCTGTCTCTAGTCTCGATCCGCCTCTCTCTACTTGTAGGTTTAGCTTAGAGTTTGTGGTGAAGAAGCTCTTAAGGTATAATCAACTAAACCCTTGAACTCCACAATCAAACTATAAGGATAACATTTGAGCTAACATTAGTGCACACTGACACTGTTTGATATGAACATTCAATCAGTTGTGGTGTTTAATATTATATATGTTAGGTTATATTTGTTGTGTTTATATGCTTAGTTTGGTCATATTCGTTGTGTTATTGGCTAACTGATGAGATAACGTTGTGTTTTTTTTATAGGAGATGCTGAGAAGATAAGAAGAAGAGGACCATAACGTTTATATATTTTCTTATGTTTTTATTTATGCTTTGGATTATTATGAACTTTGTCTATGTTTTGGATTTGTAAAATTATGAATCTATTGTATGAATTTTTATGTTTTGAATTTGTAAGAGATTTTAAGAGATTTGGGCTTTAAAAACAGAAAAATATTTGGACTTTGCGGAAGGCCCATTTGGAATGGTCCAATTTGGTCTGGACAATTTGGACTTGGTACAATTTGGACTTAAAAATAATTATGTCCATTTGGTCTGTTGTGTCCATTTGGACATGCCCATTGGACATGGACAGCCCAATTGACATCTCTATCTATTGTATCTCTTTTGCAGAAATATTAGCGGTAACAGTGGTGACTTGTGCTCGAGCAGATATTGCATATTGCATTCACACCCTTTCCCTCCACTTGCATAGAAACTAAACGGTACTTATTCATTCTCTCCTTTTATCCATGGGTTTTGAGTATACGCATGTTGATTTTTTTTTAAGTTGAAGTTAATAAACAAGATCGCCTTATCTGTATTCTCTATTGTTGTTGGTTCGACAGATTGCACTGAAAGCACTAATGTGATTGACTGGATACTAAGTGAAGGAGACCCCACGTTTTTGGAGGAGCTTTCTAATTTCAAGGAGGATTCAAGCCCTATTGGTTAGTTAGTCGTCAATTCAGTGTAGGCATAGTCTTTTGAATCAAAAGAGGTTTTTATAGAGTATTTTTTTTCTCTCACACAGCCTGGGATTGTGCAGTTTGGATACGTACTTATGCATTGTTTCTTGAGGAACGACTTGAAAGCTTCAGGTTCTTAAAATATAATACTGAAGCAGAACGTCTTCCTAAGTCCACCCCAGGACAGAATAAGATATCAAATATTTATTTACTATGTCTTGCGTTTTACCCTCTCTTTCAGATGTTTTTTATTTTATTTTGCGCGTTGTGGATTTGCAGAGGTACAGTAGTAGATCAGGGATTTAGATGGTGAAGTGATTTTGGTATAGTTGCCAGTTTTAAAGCAGCGACATTAATTATCGCCCCCATCACAAGTGGCAATTGTGAAAACAGATGGATCAATCAGTAACACCTAATTGTTCACAGCAAGGCTCTGCAGGTTCACATTATAATGTGGCCTCAAATGTTATTTTGTAGCATATTATCTGAATCCAGATGTGGGGTCGTATATTTTAATTCCTTTTCCAAGCTAAACAAACATCATTCATTTTAGTTCTTATTCCAAGCTTAACAAACATCATTTTATTTTCATAAGTTCAGCTATTCCAGATCATATGGTTCCTACACGAGAGCTGGATAGCAAAAACGCACGTTTTTATATACGTGAGAATGTATCATCACTTAAACCATGAATCTACCCTCTTGGACTTACGTAATTCAGATATGATGGAACATGAGGAGTGTAGGCAATATCCAGTCTTTTTATTTCCTAGAACCATTACGCCCCCACCAAAACGGTAACCAAATAAATCCTTTTGATTTCATCTATGAAAACAATCACAAAATTTAGTTTAAATATCTAACAATAACAACTTTTTTTTCAAAATGGCAATGATGCTTATCTTGTATGACTAATATTTTCGTAGAGATATACACTGAAAAGAATTCAAACCATTAGTAATTAACCCAATTTGGGTTGTGTCGAAATCTTATAAATTCAACTAAAATTCAACTAGATCTCGACCCGCACAACTGTGCAGCTACTTTAATACGAAAATATTTGAAAATATATAATATTCTTTTTGTTTAATATTACATGATATTTTAAGAGATTTATTTTGTTTCAAAATATAAGATGTTTTGAGATTTTAAGGTTACTTTTAACTTCCTTGAAATTTGTTCAACCAATAAAATTTTACTATTTTTTTTTAATAATTGGTTGAATGATTTTAAAATTATATCTTTAAAAATAATTGTGAAAAGATATTATAATGATGTTATGTAAGCTTTTATAAAAAAATTAAGCATGGACCAAACTAAAAAATTACACATGGAGAAATTTATGATTTCTCTTTTAATATAATAGATGTTTAAGCTCAATAAGATAACATATTAGTTATTGTAGGATTAAAAACTCAAACAATATAAGTATAGATATAACTATATATCTACAAAAAAATATAACTTATGATCTTTATGACTACAAATATTAATAAAATATAATAAATTAGGATTTTGAAATAGAGTTAATCCCGCGTTTTTAAAACGCGGGTCAAAATCTAGTTATTCCTTTAATTCTACAACATATTTTTATTATCTCCATTTATTTTAAATTACATTTCTTTAATATTAAAGTAATTAGAAATTATATTTCATTTGATTAATCAAGTACTAATTTTTGGGATTATGAAAAAGATTATACTATATGGACAAACTAATGTTAATTTTATATTTAACGGGATAAAAAATGGTGAATTTTTGTTTTATTTTGGCAAATTTCTCAATATATTTTTTGTAATAATCACAACTTCAAAAGCTTTTGATGTCAATCAAAATATTAAAAATATTATAAATAGTAAATACATTTTTAAAGCTAATTTTGTTTACAGAGGGCATCTATTTGTGTTTCAAGAAAAAGTGTTAAAAAGTACTTTTTTAGTCAAAATTCTAAACCGACGTCTACAAAGAAAAAGTTACTAATGGTGATTTAGGATCTATTAGGATCTTTAGATCCCGAATCCAAATAACAACATTTTTTTGGAATCGTTTTGTTTTGTTCAAAATAATGAAAAAGATTCGTATTCTATATTTTTTTAGTGTAACCGAATTTAGGCATATCTACTAACTAACAACTCGTCGTCTCTCACTTCATCGTCGTCTCTCTTCCCTCGTCACACTTTGTAATCGGAGCTTCATCATTGCCGGAAACATGGCTGAATCGAGATCGCCTCCCGTGGCGAAGAAAGTGGAGCATGTGATGCAAATGTTCGGTGACGTTAGGGTTGACAATTACTACTGGCTCCGCGACGATTCTCGTTGCAATCCCGACATGCTTTCTTACCTCCGTGAAGAAAACGAATACACTGCTTCTGTCATGTCTGGTGAGTGAGGTTCTTAGTGGTTAGGGTTTAATCTCTGACTGTGGAAGTTGTTTCAGGGACTAGGCAGTTTAAGAATCAGATTATTGATTGAATTATCAAATAGTTTCATACAAGCGGTTAAAAATGTTTGGATAATTTAATTTTTATATAATGTGAACATGAATATTTTTTAATTTGTAAAAATGTATTTTGAAACAAATGGCTGTTTTTAAATTAAATATATCTACATAATATTTTTAGGTATAGAAATCGTATTTTGAGTTTTGGGTATCTATTCAGTTCTGGTTTAATTTTGAGTTCACGATATATACATACAGTTCGGTTATTTATGAATTCTAGTCCGGTTTCATTTTTCCATTTGTTTAATGTTCATGCCTAGTGGTGACTGTGGAAGCTGTTTCAGGTACTAAGCAATTTAAGAATCAGATTATATTATCAAAAAGATATTTGGATAATTTATTTTTTAAATAACAATAGCATAAATTTTTGATTTTTATAGTATGTAATTTTCAATATATGTTTGTTTTGAATTAAATATAGCTAAATTAATATTTTTAGGTATACAAAATTGTATTCGGGGTTTTAAGGTTTAGAGAATAGAAACTGCTGCGGTATTTGTGAATTCTAGTCCGGTTAGTTAATGTTTCATGCCTAGTTGACTGTGGAAGCTGTTTCAGGGACTAATCAATTTGAGAATCAGCTGTTTTCTGAGATTAGAGGAAGGATCAAAGAAGATGACATATCTGCACCTCTACGAAAGGATCAAAAAATTTAGTATTTTGGATCTTGCTCTGATACCATGCCAAGATCTGAATGTTCTGTGTTATTGATATTAAACTCACGTACAAGTATATATACAACCAAGCCGTAGCTATCGTATCTCTAAGATATACACGAATAAGATTGAGACTAATCTAAACAATATATCTCATCATTATCTAATAGAATCTCCAAGGAAAAGAATATGTTCAGCACTGTAGGCGTTTGATCACTGACAACAAAGCTGAGCCTTCTGTGTATGATACTATGCCTACTGGTCCAGATGCTCCTCCTGAGCATATTATATTGGATGAGAATGTCAAGGCCCAAGAGCATGGCTACTACAGAATTGGTTCCTTCAAGGTTAGAATTTATTTTTCTATTTTGTCACGAGTTCTGTTCCAAACATGCTCTTTGTTAACTTTTGTTGATTCTGTCTACAGACCAGTCCTGATCATAAATTGGTGGCGTATGCAGAGGACACAAAAGGTGATGAGATATATACAGTGAATGTCATTGACTCTGAGGCTCTGAAACCAGTAGGTCAACCGCTAAAAGGAGTAACTTGTTACCTTCAATGGGCTGGTAATGATGCTTTTGGTCTACGTAACTATGGATGAAATCCTGCGAGCTGACAAGGTATGCTTTTTTTTTGTAAGTCGATTTGTGTTTTACCATTAGGCAGTGAATAATTTTTTTTTATTTGCTATTAATTTACACTAGAGATTGACCCGCCCTCTTGAGGGCGGGTATATTATTTGTTTTTATCTTTGTGCTTGATATATAATATATTTGTGTATTTGTATAGTAATATATTTGTATGATATAAATTTAATACTTAAGATTATTTTTGTAAGTGTATTGAAAATATCAAGTGTCATAACTATGTACTTGTGTCATATACGTTTTGGAAATTATTTATAATCTTTATTCATAAAGTTTGCAATATGTTTTTTTTTGTATTTTCATATATGACAACAGTTTTAATTTTCCACATTTTATTTTAAAATATAAGTAGTTGTTTCTTAAAAAGGAAAACAAAATTATCCGATCCATAAATTTCAGATGTAATACAATATTAAAAATTTTAAGGCCCATGACCCAGAAATAAACCTATTACTTTCCGACCACAAAATATCAGACAAAAAAAAGAGAAAATGACTAAAATAAACCTAAAAAGTTTTTGTCACAAATATAAACCTTAACAATTAAAATGACCAAAATAGCACTTAAATGTTTTATTAAATATACATTTTTATCTTTGGGTTAACTAATTCTATATTTTTTTGTTTAGAGTTGATGAGTGGAGTTTTGGGGATAGGGTTTCAAATTTTAAAAAATAAAAAAAAAATTTAAAATTTTCAAAAGAAAAAGTGCTATTTTGGTCATTTTAATTTTTGAGGACTATTTTTGTGATAAAAACTCTAAAGAGGATATTTAAGAGAATTGCCCAAAAAACAATTCTAGAATGATGGATGAGACACAATACTGGATCATTTTTCATATTGTAGTTGAACAATTAATTATCATGGTTGAACAATAACTTAGGCCTGGGCATCCGGGTCCTCGGGTCGGGTCCTATCGGATCCGGGTCTTTTGGGTCTTGGAAATTTAGACCCATATGGGTACCTATGATTTTTGGGGTCCGGATCAGGTCCGGTATTTAGAATCTAAAAAATACATAACATGTTCAAACTCACTCAAATTCAGTCAATATTTTTCATATTTATCTAAAATTTTACAAAATAACTTAATATAAACTATTAATAATTAAAGAAAACATTTTTAAACTCTAAATTTTACATTTTAAAACTTTATATTACTTAAAAATGTTACAAATAATAATAAATATTGTTAACAAAATATATTTCAACTAAATTATAAAATAATATAGATATATAAAACATAACACAAAATAATAGTTTTGGATATACATGTTTATAAGTCGGGTACAAATCGGTTCTTATCGGGTCGGGTCTATTCGGGTTGGTTTTTTTCGGGTCCGGATCTATTCGGGTCGGTTCTTTTCGTGTTCGGGTCTATTCGGGTAAAAAAAATTTAGACCCGATAGGTACTTGTAAATTTTTGGGTTGGGTATTTTCGGGTCGGTTCGGGTTCGGATCTTCGGGTCCAGGTAAAATGCCCAGGCCTACAATAACTGAAACATTTTTTGATTTTTAGACTCCTCACGATCACAATTAATGATCATGCCCTGTGTACTTTTTTTTTTGCATATTGTAGTTGAACAATTGATTATCATGGCTTCCGATATTTTAGGTAGTAAAGAAAGAGGTTATTGAATAACCAAGTCACGTACTAAATGAATATATGTTAAATAGAGGCAGTTATATTATTTAAAGTAGATTCAGTTAGTTTACTAAAAATTGTGGACCAAACTATTATCAACTGGTCATACTGCATAATTAATAGAATAGACTAGATAGTGACCCGCCCTTTCAAAGGGCGGGAATATGTTTTGTTTTAAGCTTTTTGAGAAATTTAATTTTTATATTTGTGTTTTTGGTAATTATATTTGTGTTTAATATTAATTTAATTAAATATAATTTTTGGTACCTATCTTAAATATGTCCAGTTACATAACTATACAACTGTGGCATATGCATTTCAGACATTATTTTCAAATTTTGTTTCTAAATTTGACAACATATTATATTTTCTCAGTAGTTATCCAATTATAACAGTTATAATTGTTAACAAAAAGGTAATTGCTTATTTAACTAACCTATAGGAAGAAAGCGTGAGATATTTTAGGAAATAATTTATGATGTAAAATTCCATTAAGAATTTTAATTTTTTTGTAGTGTTTTAAGAATTTTTTTTTATTTAAAATCTTTTCATAATAAAATCCCAATTTTAAAATCAATTCGGATCCGCGATCGAACCAATAAACCCGTTGACTCGATATCTAATCCAGTTTGGATTTTTTTAAAATACCCATTAATTAAAAACTTGATAAAACCTGTAAAACGATAAAATCAGAGGTTGTATGTTGAACCAATGGGCGAAGGACATGTAATACAATTTTGTTAAATTTTTTTATTTGTGAATAAAAATTTGAGTCAATGTTTGAATTAGATATTTTAAAAATAATTCTTAATTTTAATATTATTTTATTCTTTTTCTTATATGTGTAATTCCAACTTGTTATAAAATAATTTTAAATAATATTGTTATGTGAAATGGAAACTATAAATAAAACTGAGTTTAAAACTTTATTATATTTTTAAACATGTTTTTAGTATTTAATTTTCTTATAATTATATACTATAATTAAGTAAACTACTGATCGTAGTTCATCCATGATTAATCTAATAACCTAGTAGTCCGGTTTAGATAGTTTTTTAAAAGTAATTAAACTAATGACCATAGTTCATTCCCATTAACTTTTATAGTGAAAATAATATTTATGAAAGTAAAATATCAATATTATTGTTTCCAATATATTACAAAGTATGCATACTGAATAGGTCCAGTGGTAGTTATATGTATAATAGAGTAATATAGGTATTCATACGTGTTTGTTTGGTTAGAATTAAAACATGAGTACTTATTACTGTCGGTTAATATGAAAGAGGTGGATCCCGATATTTGTGGAGGTTACAAACTGTGCTAATTAAAAAGTAGTTTCGGATATAAAAAATATTTTCATTTTAGAATAGTATACTGTTGATAGAGTTTAATAGAATTTCATTTTAAATTATATTCTTAATTATTAGAGGAGTTCCACTACACCACGTTTTTCTATATATTGTTGGTATACTACCAATTGCATTATTAGAAAAGTGACCATCATTCTAACATGTTGGCAAGTTAATGTAAACTACGCTTCGTCTATATGTTGTTTATCACATGTATGAACACCTTATCGTACCTAACACATATAAACTGAGAAAAGTGTTCTGTAATCTATGTATATTTGTGTACAAACGACTAATCACATAAATGAAACTCTAAACCATGTATCATATTGGTTTGCATGTCAGATCTTATGGAATAAGATTCTTTAATAAAAAAGATAAATACATTTTTTAAAAATATGTGTTAACGTTTAGTTAATATGACGATGACTTCCACAACTTTTATGTCGTTTAGAATAATGTTGACATTAATCTTATTTCTTCTGGAATAAGGTTGACATAATTATAAGGTAAAAAAAAGGATTACGTAAACATTTGTTTAAAGGATTAGAAAAGAATTAATTTGGAAAATTAAAGGTACAATATATTTATATGATGAGAGATTTTAGGATAGTTTGGTGGTCTTTTTTTCATTTCCTAAACTACCCTCTTAAAATTTTAGTTCTTAAAGTAAATCTGATGGTACAAAAAGTAATATGCCAAGAAAACTCAAGGGTAAATTCATAAAAAGGATTCTGTTTTAATAGTATTGATACTGTTATGACATTACACCTCATAAAATCAATGTCATATTCTTTTTCACAGGTTTGGTTACATAAGTTGGGGACAGAACAAAGAAGTGATGTATGCCTTTACCACGAGAAGGATGATATGTTTTCTCTTGATCTTTACGCCTCTGAGAGCCATAAGTATATCTTTGTTGCATCCGAAAGCAAAACTACAAGATTTGTTTTCTCTCTTGATGTGTCCAAGCCTCACGATGGATTCAGGGTGCTGACACCTCGTGTAGATGGCATTGATTCATCTGTCAGTCATCGAGGGAACCATTTTTTCATACAGAGAAGAAGCAGTGAATATTACAACTCCGAACTGGTCGCCTGCTCAGTTGATGACACATCTAAGACAACAGTTCTGATTCCACATAGAGAAAGGTAAAACATTCTTGTTAGGATATGTTTTCCTTTGTCAGTGTCCCTATCCAAATCCACAGGACGTCCAACTAATTTTTAGTCTCATTTATATTCTTTGGCTTAGACCGCATGTGTAACAACCCTGTCCCTAGGATCCTAATTTCAACCATGACAACACTTCTCTTAAATCCAATACTTCCTTTATTTCAATCTTAATCGTCTTACAAGTAACTAAATTCAATGAAAACCGAATAACATAACAATAGTTTAAGAAAACGTAGTGAAAACCCTTAAAACAAAACTGAAATAGATGGCACCATTCCGACTTCTACTCCTGCACCTCCTCGATCATACCTGCAAGAAGGAGGGTGAGTAATTTGGATTACTCAGTGAGGGTAGGTTCTAGGAACCCACAAACTCATCTCAGATCACATAACACATTAAGCACAAGTCATAAGTTAATATCACCTAGCATTCATCTAACAAGATTCTCTAAACTCTCTAATCCACAAGTTCTCAAGCTAATCACTATACACCTCATGACCTTACACGACTTCACCATTCTATGCCAAACCGGCACGCCAAACCGGCACTCGCCAAACCGGCACATGCCAAACCGGCACTCGCCAAACCGGCACGTCAAACCAGCACTCGTCAAACCGGCACGCCAAAACGGCACGCCAAACCGGCACTCGCCAAACCGGCACTCGCCAAACCGGCACGCCAAACTTGCACTTCGTCACACTACGACACAACCCCATATCTCATCGACGACATCATAAAGACCTATCTCATCAACATTCAATCTTAACCAGATTCATTATTATCACA